GGGCTTTGCCGCCGCGGCCGGGAGGGGAGGGGTGCCGCAGCGGCGGGTCCTGAGGGCTCCCGCAGCACGGGCAGACCCTCGCCCTTTCCCTGGCCGGGGAACGGGCGGTTCCAGCCCGACCTAGGAGAAGCTGCTTGAAGCATGAGGAGCTTGTGGAGCCCACCCCGGGCCCAGCACATCACCTGCAGGATGGGGAGCCCTGGGGCTCAGCCCTGCCAGGTCACCTTGCCACAGTGGGGCTGGGGGCACTGGGGGTCTTAGTATTTGCTAGGCCCAGGTGGGATACAGCTGAGCCCTTGTCACTTCCCTCTCTGTGGCTGGGTCTGCCTACCCTGTGCCATGTCCTATCCCCAGGGGGTCTCCAGCCCCTCAAGGGCAGGGTCACACTTCACTGCTCTCGCCCCCCTGAGGCGCACAATGATGTCTCTGCCGGTTACTAAGAAAATTAGGTTATTTTTTCTCCACTCAGATCTCTACCCTGTCCCCTGAGCCCTGTGACCTGTCCAGTAATTCTTGTCCACATGCTTGAACTGCACCAGAGCAGTCACTAGGACCAGAGCCTCCCACAGCAGAGACAGCACAGGGCCCTGGAGCTCTGATTGCTACAGCTTGGCAGGGTCTGAAGGAGATTCTGTTCGGCTTCCTCTGGCAATTAAACACATAACAAGGTAACTGGCCATCACTCAAGGGAGCAAGACAAAGGACATGGTCAGAACAGACAGGTCTGCTGGAACATCCCATCACCAAGGTGCGCCCCCTCTCACCTCCATGTCAGGAGCAGTCTTACCGTGGCTCAAGGTAACGGATAAAAGGAACAGAAAGCTCTGCAAACAGCTGGTCTCATGACAAGAGTTCCTAGCTGTCCCCAGTGTCACTACAGGTCGATGCTCTGGTCCCTTGTCACTGAGAGCATCCCTGGAGAGCTGCAGAGACGCCAGGAGCCAGCAGGGCATGGCACTGCGCTGCTCCAGCCCAGTGGAACCTCGGCAGCAGCAAGAGCCATGACACTAACCCAGCAGTCCCAGAGCTTCCTCATCTCCCAGATTTTAACCAATAAACCTTGTGACCTGTGTGATACGTGCTGAGGAACGCAGCTCTCCTTTGGGAAGCTGCAGGATCACAGGCTTCCAGGCAACACTGGCCCACCTGGAGTCATGCTCCTTTGGGACCAGCCTAGTGGAGGTACAGGCTGGCATGGGGTCCAGAAGCTGCAGGAGTTCTACAGGCAAAGCTGTTAACAGGTCAGGTTGGTTTAGGGGGTTGACACTGGTCGTTAGGATAAAAACTCCACCACCTGGAGGGCACAGCTGCAAGGGACAGATCCGACGATTACGAGTCCTGCAAAAAAACATTTTTCCACCTTTCAGCCAGAGAGGGGAGGGCACAGGCCCCCAGCTGACAGAAGGAAGGCATGGACGCAAGGCAGAGCTGTATGCTGGTTTTAATGTTCCTAAGAACCAGGAAACAGAAATCAAAAATAGACTTTGCTCTTCTTGATAAAAGTAATAAAATGGTTAGCGGTGTTAAATTAATCCTTACAAAACAAAACCCAAGGAGGTTAAATAAAGCCCAGAGGCTCGGCATAAAAACCACAACGACTACAAAACAGCTGCAAAGACGCCTTTACACACTGAAGAAACTCCTCTTCCCTGCTCCTCCCCTCTATGGTACACAGCGGCGGCCAACACGGGACTCACACATGTGGGAATGAAACACGGATGCGATGGGAGCAGCCCCGCCAGGAGCGCGGGCGCCACGGACACAACTATTTACACTATGGACACGGAGCTGTGCTGGTGCCAGCCTGGCCACAGGAGCCCTGGGCTCTGCCCGCCCTTCTGCTGGTGCTGGGCTGCGGCTGGGGCCCCTCCAGCTGCGGTGCCAGGCGCTGAGCACTTGCTGACACTTGCCATCCGTCCCTCCATCTGTCCCGCTGTCCTTCCGCCCATGCATGCATCCCAGCTCCAGTTGCCCCTTCCTGGGGCGCTCTGGCGTCAGAGGGGCTGCCTGCTCCTCCTGCCATGCTTCCCCTGCCCTCCCGCCGGGCCTC